GCAGTTTAAAATAGGGGCCTAAATAAGTACCAATACTATTACTATTATCTGTTTTTGGGAGCGGGGGTTCCTTATTATAGTTATAATCGAATATAGCCCAAGCCCCTATTCTAATTATCAAGGGCCGCTACATTAGGGGGTTTGGGTTTAGGGTTTTTTGGTTTAGGGTTGAGTGTTTAGGGGTTTAGGGGTTAGGGTGGTTCAGCAACTGCTCCCGGAACTATGTGGGTAGCTCTCTAAATTAGGATCCCTTTTAGTGTCCTTTTATTTATAACGATGTCGTACTCTTTTGGGGACCTGAAAAGGGCCCGTCATTCAGAGAATTACCCATGTACTCAGAATATACTCTGGGCTTAGCGTAGTCTCTCTTTAGGTACCTTCGAGCCAAAGTATACACTAGATGAGTCTCTAATCGTGGGCTGTCTGAAAATATTCCCTCTATAGCTTCTTTAGGGCCAGCCTCAAATGCATTTCCTTGTTTTGGTTATCTGGTTTTCCTAAGAGTTACCTACCTGTCAATCTGTCGCTCCATCTATCTACAGATGTGTTGGGTATGACATTACAAGTAATGTGCATATATAAGTATGATTGCCGTTATCTCAACAATAGCAGTACGTACATCCGAAAGCAAGGTACGACAATTCAATGTGAAACTAGTTTCGGGATTTGGTCTTGTTTGGACTACTTGGAGGCGTCTCTACATGTGCAACAGAAGTACACACTGCTTCCAAAGGCCAACACTCTAACCTGATACCTGACATGAAACAAGTTCTTCACTCAAGATTTGTAAAGACCGCTGTCAGACGCCATGAGAACCTTCGAATGTCCTTAACCCAGCAAGTGGGCTTAAGGGATTGGGATTTGGGGGTTTAGGGTTTAGGGGTTTAGGGTTTAGGGGTTTAGGGTTTAGGGTTTAGGGGTTTAAGGTTTAGTGACCTAAACCCTAAACCCTAAACACGCAACTACCGCACTACCAGGCGAGATTGGATCGCCTTTCGAGCCCTGGTGGCATTGTGAAGCCGGGGCCCCAGCTACGACCGTAAGCACCAAACACTAAGCCCTAAACCCTAAACCCTAGTAAGCCCTAAACACTAAGCCCGAAACTTAAGCGATGAAGGAGGTTTGCGGTGTTGAGTTGTTTGCGGGGTTGTAGTTTTGACTGTGGGCTGAGGGTTGAGTTCACGGTTGACAAGGGGTTTGGGATGTAGAGATGCAGTTTTGAAGCTGAGTGCTCGGGCCAACATAATAACCAATACTATTTTGGGGGGTTCCTTACTAGAATTATAGTATATTGGGCCCCAAAATCAACACCTATTCTGAATATTCCAATCATTAAGGCCTTTATATTACGGTTTAGGGTTTAAGCGTCTGGGGTCTAGAGGTCGTGGAGTTTATGATTGAGGGCTGTGGGTGGAAGTTGGCACCCTGCGTTGCCTGGTGACCTACTTACTGTAGTTGCCTGAATAATTAGCATATGGTTTCAGATGTGCCCTAAACCCTAAACTCTAAACCCTAAACCCCAAAATCTAAACCCTAAACTCTAAACCCTAAACCTAAACTCTAAACTCTGAATCCTAAACTCTAAACCCTAAACCCTACACCGTGGGGCATCCCAAAGAGAAGTATTGACAATTCTGCAGGCCCCAGTAGCAACAGCCCGAGCACGCGTCCTACATCCGAAACCCCGCCTGCAGCCGAAAAACCGACTGTTTTAGGGTTCCTTGTTCAAGTTATGATTCCTATTTCTAGTTACTAAAACCCTAAACCGTAAACCCTAAACCCTAAACTAATATGGTTCCTCCCACAGGTAGGTTTTTCGGCCTCAGGGAGGCCATGAATGCTAGACCGGGTTTGGGGCTTAGGGTTTCGCGTGGAGAGTTTAGGGTGAAGGGTTTAGGGTTTAGGGTTAGGGTTTGGGATTTATTGTTTGGGGTTTAAGGTTTAGGGTTTAGGGTTTAGGCTTTGGGGTTTGGGGTTTAGGGTTTAGGGTGAAGGGTTTAGGGTGTAGGTGACAGTTTAGGGTGCAGAGTTTTGCTTTACACTGGGGTGGAGATTCGCGTTTAGGGGTTTATGGTTTAGAACGTAGATCCAATTGTGTGTGGGAACATAGCATCAAAACATGGATCGCCTCAAGGCGAGTTGCTGCTTTCCAGGCTATGGGGCTGGGGATGACAACATAAAAACACCCCACATTCAAGATCCAAGCACCTAAGCCCCATCGTGGACACTACATTTAGACCCATAAACCCTAAACCCCACACTTAAGCCCAAGACCCTATTTTGAAAAAGCTTTCAGAGCGCACCTGATTCACCAGGACGCCCTCGGAGACTCTTTCTGCCCTAAGTGCTGGCCTAAGTCAGGGAAGTCGGGGGGTTCAGGGTTCGATCGGATTCAGCAGGGGCTCGGAGGGGCTCAAAGTGTTTACCAGGTGGCACTTTGGGTTTAGGGTTTAGGGGTTTAGGGTTTAGGGTTTAGGGGTTTAGGGTTTAGGGTTTAGGGTTTAGGGTTAATGTCCCTTATGGTTTAGGGTTTAGGAATGTCCCTTATGGTTCTGTTAGAGATGCCTATTCATTTTTTGGGGGGGGAACTACAACCCAGTATAAGGGTTCTGCAGGATTCGAGGTATAGGCCGTGAGCCCAAAGCCCTAAACCCAAAGTGTAGACCAACTAGCTTCTAGAAGTTCTCCTGCGCGATTGAGCCTTCAAGCAGCAACCCACCAAGCCCCTAGTACCCAGATCCGACAGTTACATAAACCCATCTAAACCCAGAACCCATGTAAACCCTCAGCCCTAAACCCATCCAAACCCTCAACCTAAACCCATCCAAACCGTAAGCCCAACACCCAAACCCTCAGCCCGATACCCTAAACCCTAAGCCCCAGAAACCTAAACCCGCAAGCCTCAGGGGCTGCCCGGGAAAGCGCTCAAAAGCTGTCGACGCGGCTCAGAAGCTGCGAGGCTGGACTGCACGGTTCAGGGTTTAGGGTTGAGGGTTTAGGGTTTCAGGTCTAGGGTTTATGGTTTAGGGTTTAAGGTTTGGGGTTTAGGGTTTAGGGGGTATTGGGTTTAGGGGTTTGGAGGTTTAGGGGTTTAGGGTTCAGGCTTTAGGGGTTTAGGGATGTGGTTCAGGGTTAAAGCTTTTGGGGTTACGCTTACGTAGACCTAGTTTGGAGACATGTCAGGGTCTTTCGAAGTGCTCCAGAATCCAGAAGTGTCCGCGAATCGAAAATAGTAGTATATACTTTGGACCCAAAGTGCAAAACAGAAGACTACTTTTCAGGCCAAACTATATACTGTTTGGGTACATGGACCCGAAGTACCTAGATAGGGACTACTTTTGAGGCCGAAGTACCCTAAACCCTAAATCCTACTGTTTGGTTACCCGAAACCCTAATTCCTAATGTTTGGCTATCAAAAAACCCTAAACCCTAAACCCTAAACCCTAAACCCCTAAACCCTAAACCCTAAACCCTAAACCCTAAACCCTAAACCCTAAACCCTAAACCCTAAACCCTAAACCCTACCCTCACGGAATGAGGGTGTCGCAGGGTTTGGGGTTTTTAACATAGCGGTTTTTAACATAGCGGCCTCAATCACAATTAGAGTTGGTGCTTTATTAAAGGTTTCCTGTACGGGCCCTATTAAGCTTCCTGTACGGGTCCTACAAAGCTTACTGTGAGGTTTTACTTCTTAGTAAATCTCGGCGGGAGCTATCAGGAGATCTTGGTAGCTGTTGGGGAATGTTGTGGTTTCTTCCTCTTGGAGCTATGGATTCTTGTCCGACATAGGCAACAATACATGTGGGTGGTTGTCAAAATTATGGTCCCTTTTTGGGTCCTTATTATTTAGGGTACCCCAAAAGGGACCATAATTTTGACAACTACCCATGTTTCTTTTCGGGGTTATGGTTACCTGGTTCTGACGAAATCAAACACATGACTGTGCATACCACTTCTGTGGAGTAGAGTTTAAAATAGTTGCCTTGCACATCTTGTTACTTTCGAGTTGACCTCTCAGCTTGTCGATTGTGCCATGAATCGGCAGAAGGTTCAGAACTCCGCGTTGAGCGAACACTTGGGTGTTTAGACTCCAGCACAAAACCCCGAGTTGATTTCAGTAGAGTGCCCTTACAGTTTGGGTTTGGCGTGCCTGCTGAAGTCTCGATGTCGCGAAAAGGTGGCGCCAAACATCCGACTTATATCCAGGTTAAGGTTCTAGGGTTTAGGGTTTTAGGGTTTAGGTTTTTTGCAGGGGCCTAGGCACCCGAAACGGAGTACGTCGATGGGTAAACTTTGAGGTCTTATTCAGAAACCTGATTCAGAATTCTGTGATTTTCATTAGTGTCCGCTATATGGGCAATTCTCCAAATTAGGGTCCCTGTCACAGTACTTCCTAATGCTTTGGGGTTAGAGGGACTAGGGTTCTCAATCAGGTTCCTACATCAAGACCCGCAATCCTTGACACGTCAAGCCCTCCCAAGCCTTTGCAGAGATCAACAGAAGCATCTATGGCAATCCCAGGCTAATTTTCCATGGAATCCTAAATATTTGCCAAGATTCTTCTCTAGGTCTCCTCATCATTGTTGTGATTACTATTGCTATGTTCACTTTTATTTTGTTCCGGTTATCATAAGTGTATTTCTTATACAGTATCACATACCCCAAAGCCCTCTTCGAAGTATCAGGATCCTTACAGTACCCGCCGACTCCAATCCTGGTGAATAGGGCTTCAGGGTTTAGGGATGTAGGGTTTAGGGGTTTAGGCTTTAGGGTTATTGGCAGCGATCTGATGCACTCCGGTGCATCCTTTTTCCCTTCGGGCCTTGAAAGTGCCTGCGACACTCGCGGATGATAACATGCGCATGGCAGCATACAGCAGCCTCGACGAAAACACTCCTATCAAATCTTCAACAACGTTTTGTTGCTTCAGAAGCCTCCTCACTCTGGTAGCAACTGTTGAAGCGAGTGTTCGCCTCATACTTGATCACATCTCCGTCAGCTCAGGGAGTCGGACTGTGGAAGAGGCGTGTGAAGGAGGTAGAAGACACCGAAGACGTAGCCACGCTTCGGGGTGACTCCATCGACAACATGCCGGCGCGGCGACGCTCGATAAGGTAGTTCGCCAAATCCTGCAGCTTATCGCCGCCGCTCTTGTTGCGAGGAATGCACCATCGGATGTAGGAGCGGCTCTGGTCGTCGTCCAGATGTGTGAGGTCGTTGTACGTGATGTTCTTGGAGGCGTACTTCCCGAACGTGATGATCGTCTTTCCCCATTGGTCCAAGCTGTGGATGTCCGGGGGGAAGTTACCCTGGTAGTTCACCGGAAGAGGGAACGGAGGTCCGTGAGGGGCCTCTGGCACCGAGGAGCGCATGGTGCGCTCTCCTTTCATGAAGCCTGTTCCTGGAACCGGCTTTGGCTCGGCATCAGACGGGGCTCCTCGAGCTCCAGGGGAAGCACTGCTCACTGGAGGTGCTGAGGCAACCAACATCCGAGGCGTCCGGGGGGCGTCCACGTCGGTGAGGACGTCGAGGTCATCATCATCATCTGTGCGAAGGCGCTTGGAGGAGTCGGCCATAGTGCCGCCACTGGTGGTTCCTGCCGGAAGCTCATGGCGGCGGGCAAACTGGGCACACACAAGTGGCCAAGTCCCATCCATCTGGAACTTGTCCCGTCGCTCGCGGAACTTCATCAAGGCATCCCGCCAGATGCTCTCGCCTTCGCCCACGAGGAAGGCGCGGGACATGATCTCGGTTGCGGTCTCCTTGTCCTGCACGGAGAAGGGGATGATGTCCTTGGCCGGGTGGCTGACATGCTGCCACTCGCCGGTCTGCTTGGAGTTAGTTGGCATGGCTCACGCACACTCAAGGATCACAGAGCACTGGTGCTCTCTCACACAACTAGCTTGACGCGGCTGCGTCACACTGCAATGCACATGCTTGTCACACATGAGTACTGTACACCCTTGGCACTTGTTAGCGAAACCCCGGCTAACTAAACCCTTATTTACCTACGGCCCTTTCTTTGCGGCGTGCCCTCTCGGACGCTCTCAGCTCGAGAACATCGTCTTCATCACTGATCTGATACTGTCCGGCCCTGAGGCAAGCTCTCATCAGGTCCATGGCTTCTGGTGACTCCTTTGTAAGGGCGTCTGCCACCATCCGATCAGTGGGTATCCACCGCAAGTTGGCATGCGTCTTTTCAAGACTATCCCTCACTATGACCACATCTAGGGCAGTACGTTTATCATCCAGAGTCGGGGCCGACTTGGAGGTCAGGTGGTCGTAAAGTGACTTGCAGTCAGTTAGGGCAATGCTCGTACGAAGAGACGCCTTTTGCCAAACACAACGGAGTGACGAAGGACCGTCGAGGGCTTCAGACACTAGCAGCAAAATCCATTCTAGCATACCTGTAGCAGAAGACATTGCCTGGGCTTCGGCGCTAAGTGTGGAATTAACCACCCTGGGAAGTCGATAGCTACGCCAGTATGCTGGAGTCCAACTGCAGAGGGTGCCCTCATTCATAGCTTTATCAGTGAAGCCCACTATGTACCCGGCTTGGGTGGCACCGTCTCGTCCGTTCGCATAGGCGGCATCCGAATGAACCATGACACTCAGGCGGTGTGGATCAACAGGTTGAAAAGTCAGTGGAAGCTGAGTGTTCTGCCGGGCCCGGCGGATAGCATTGTTCGCTGCCAGAGCGTCTTGCACGCATGGTTCAGGGAATGCCTGTTGTGAAAAGGACACCTGTGTCGACAGATCGGGGCGCGATTGCGTGGCGAGCCAATTTAGCCCTCCATTAATCGCCCGGAGACATCGGGTCTCATCGCTCGTGAGAGGGGAATCCCGCTCGGCCTGTCGACTGCGGCTGAGATGCAATGGACGGAGCTTTTCGACGAACCCATCTTGTGACATGGTAATGGCAAAGGTCTGGGGATCCTGTCTATAGCGAGCCCCGCAAAAGTCTCCATCACCGAGCCTCCACTTGCGGAATTCAAAACGTGCTCGTAAGAATTCAAGTGCACGCTCATACTTCTCACCCTGTCCGCCGGTGGCACAGTCATCGACGTGAACACCGTAAATGCCGGTCAGCACACCATTCTCCCTCATGTAATAGATACAAGGGTCAAACCGACTACGCTCAAACCCGGCATCGACTAGTGCCTTATTCAGTGTCCTTTGCCATGCGGACGGCGCGTCATTTAGTCCATAGACATGGCCCAGCACTTCTATCAATGCATCTTCGGGCACACCAGGAATGCCACCGGGTGGCAAACGGGCATACAGCGGTCGGTATGTTGACGGTAATTCACCGGAAGAGAGAAACGCTCCCTTGATGTCACCAAGTCTGAGAGACCACTTATGCGAAGCAATCAACTGAAACAGTACAGACCGACCGACTTGGGACAACGTGGGACTCTGGAGGTCCCCGGCAAGGGCCTTTCGGTGCAGGTCTGGGTCCAGGTGACCCTGAAGACACCACCTAGCCTTAACCCTTGGGGCCTCATCTTCCTCTTGCTTAACCGTGACCACAAATCTGCTACCCATGATACGGTGTGACATTTTCTGACGGACCTGTTGCGCTTCCTTGCCTAGAACCAACCTAGTCGCATTTCTACCCTGCACCGTGGACCACTCTAAGACCTTGGCTTCATCTACTTTATTCTGCAACTCGAGTGGATTGCCGACAGCAGGAAGTTCCTTGGACTGCTTCTTATTGAAGTTGGCAACCAGCAAGGCTTCGATGCTCATGGCTTTGGCTTGAGGAGAAGGCAACTCTAGGTGTTCAGCGAGGAGGACTTCTGCACTTAAGTCCTCGGTTGCGGCTTCACTCGAGTCACTGCGTGGTGCGACTCGACGCTCGGGAGCCGGTTCAGGCTCGGCGGACGCTTCTCGCTTCTCACCTCGGCGAGGATCGGATGCGGGAACGGACTCAGGGGATGCTGTGGCTTCAATGGTTTGATTGATCAACTCTGGAAGCACTTCTCTCATCAGCTCGGAAAAATCATCCTGAAGCATGCCCTGGGGACGCAGCAAGAGCTCGGGACGGCTCTTGCGTGGAACTCGGCGCGCGGGGCCGTATGCCTCTGACTGCTCACTGCTGCTAGTTACCCGTCTTGGCAGTGCATACGGACCTTCTGTGGTTTCAGGTCGACTAGGCAGGCTACGGTCTTGGGCAGCATTCGAGAGACCCGAACCCTCAACAAGAGAACCCAACCTAGACCCCACACCACTGTCCGCATGGCCTCCTGGAGCCTCGTGGGACGAGGCTGCACGCTCCTGTGCATCATGATTTTGAAGACGGGATTGCTCGGCAGGTACAGAGGACACTCGGGCATCTCCTACAGGACTTAGGGGCCTAGATCCCTCGGCATTGGCTGGGGGTATTGGTACATCAGCTTCGGAATCTCTTGGGGCTACTTCGGGGTGATCCTGCGGGACGAGGTCGACATATTGCTGGCTACTCAGTGCATTACTATCAAGCAAGTGCTTAAGTCCCAGGAGTTCCGCCTGCGGCGTGGAAGCAAGACACTGCTCCTCCGAAGTTGCTCGTCTCACCTGTTCCGGCGCACAACGGAAAATCTGCTTCTTATGAACCACCACTAGATTCTTACCGACATACCCCAACACAACAGCCGGACCATACCATCTACCACCCCTAACTATGGTTCCCTGCTGGCTCTTCTGCGTTCTCCAGTATGCAACCATAGATCCTGGCTCGAAGTGCTCAAGAACCCGAGGCCTAGCACTAAGACTAAGTCGCAACGCCTTGTCGTCTTGAAGCTCAATGACTGCCTTTCGGGCTGCTTGGCGGACTGCCACACACCTGGCCAGGGACTCCTCATAAAGAGAAGCTGTTGCGGGAACCACTTCGAGAGGTTCACTCATGAGGTCGCTTGCAATGCGAGGATTTTTGCCAAAGACGAATTGGGCAGGAGTCATGCCGTATACTTGGATAAGCTCGTTCTTGCAATGTGCAGCGGTAACACACTCCTCCCAACTACGGCGATCACTCGGTGCATGCTCGGCTATGACCTTTTGCAACACCCGTGAGAACCACCCACCGTGGACCTCGACCTTCCCTAGCTGCCAGTGGGCTTCGGCGGCCGTGGTGGCTACCACGGAACCATGCAGCTCTTGCGGCGTGGTCAGGGCTTCGGCAAGGTTTGTGCGAGCGGGGTCGACTACCAGCTCATGTGGCACACCTGCCCATGTGATCCAGCGATCTTGCAATGCTTGTCGAATCAACTCTGCTGTTTCACGATTGGCACTAAGAGGAACCATGACTTGGAACGAGGATGCGTAGTCAACAATGTTCACGGCAGGGATTTTCTGGTTGGGTAACCAGCCAGGCAGATACTTGACATCTATCCCAACCCTACGGTTGAACTCCGTCACCCGCTGCGCTTGAGCCAGCGGTGCCGGGCGCGGTTGTCGTTGAGACTCACAAAGCTCACACTTGAGCTCTCGGGCAAGATCAATGGCAGCCTGGTTGGCGCCTCCATGCTTGAGAATTCGAATCAACACAGCATTGGTCGGATGACCCAAGTTATTGTGCAATTTCCGCAAGCTAGCAGTCATCTGGTCTTTCCGCTGAGCATTGAGCTCCTCGACGCGGGCCGACACAAGGCACTCTTGGTCGGGCACAGATTGCACTAGACACGCCCCAAAACAGGACAGCTCCTTGACCGTGCGAAGTCCAGCTCGCACGAACAAAGTAGGATAAACCCCGATGGAACGATATGCGGACTTAGTTCGAGAATTCACTTCCGGAGCTGCTTCTCCTGGGCATGTCCGGCTCAAGCTTCGCATATTGGCATGCGACACCAGCAGGCGAGTGGGTGATCTGATGGGATCGCCGGTCTCTGACTTCAGGCCGTATGAGCTCATGTCGAGCTGAACAGCATACATGCGATCACAAGCTGCCTTCCACTTGGGCAGGTTACACACCGATCCCTGTCTGGGCTGTTCCATCATCACCCGGCCGCCGGCATCTAGCTGGAGCAGAGCTAGCTCAGCTCCGAAGTTCAGAAACAACTTGGTAATCAGTTCCCGATAACGGCGCTCCTTATCCTCTAGATGACAACTAGCTAGATCATACCAACCGCCGACCCATGCGCACGGATGGCCCACAACAAGCAGCTCTGGGCGCTGCTCCTGAACCAGCTGTCGCATGCGATCTCGATCGGTGGCACGTCGGAAATCCCAGCCTGTGACTAGATCGGCGGCTATGCAATTCAATCCTCGGGTAACCCCTAGCAACCCGAATTGGGGTGGAGAGAAAATCTCAACCACATGCACCTTATCTGCCGGAGGAGAGGACTGAGGTTCTGTTAACCTCTGCTTAGCGCGCCGTGCCGCTGATCGAATCTGACGCTTCTGATGTCGCGTCCATTGACACAGGTGCACTTCACACGGCTCCGTCGGCGGTTCACTGGGGCTCTGAGGAGCTGCCGGCGCTTGCACCTCAAACATCGTGGTTCCGAGCCACGGCTCAGATTCAAGATCACGGTGTGCATTCTCAGAGAGTTTCCAATCATCTACTATGCACGTCTTATCACTCGTAGGCCTGTTGCACGTGGTCACACGCTTGGCACTCAGTCTAGCAACTGGAATCGGACATTGCTCGCTACTCGGGGTGAACAGGGTCGTTCGGGGCTGGCAATGTACTCGAGTGACCTGCAAGCCATCCTGAGACACAATCCAATGATCCTCCTTGCTTACTGAGGCGCATCCCTGTTCATCTCCACTCGGCTCCTGAGTGACCGTCACCTCGTTCGGTGGGGGCGCCTCCACGGAGAACTCCATCACCGGAATCATATACTGCCCGGCCGCATTGGTCTTCATAGAGATGCTCTTGTCGCCGAACAGCTTAAGCTCATCCTTCCGGAAATCCATCTGCGCGCCCAAGGTCTTCAGGGCCGGACGGCTCAGCAGGAGAGGGGCCTTGCCATGGATGATGGCCGCTCGGATGAGACCTCGCTTTCCAGCGAGGGCCACGGGCATCTCGACGATGTACTTGGCCACCTCCTCAGCACCGTTGCCGAAGCGGAAGACATTCGTCTCCGGCTGTGTCCTCGGCTGCTCGATTCCCAGCTTCTCCCACATTGCGCGGAACTCCTGGAGAGTGTCGGCGCCCACAATCGAGCGGCCACACCCTGAGTCCAGCACTGCAAAGCCGGGGCTCGACACGAGCAGGACCTCGCTGATCTCAACATGCCGTTGGCGGAGTCGCTGTAGCATCGTAGGGCTCTGCATGGCCTGAATCGCGTGGCACACGAAATGCTGCACCAGGTTGACGGCTGCAGGGGCTGAAGCTCCGGAACTGGCTGCCGCGCCGGGCGGAAGTTTGACCTTGCACTCCCTGGCCCAATGGCCAACTTTTCCGCATCGTCGGCATTGCGTTCGTTTCTTCAGTTCCTCCACTTCTACCCGGAAGGACCGCCGAACGTCGTCGGCCTGGTGGAATTTGCGAGCTCGGTTGAGCTTGTTCAGCTCCTGTCTGCGATCCTTCCACGTCGCCGCGAGCACTTCGGCAACCTCCGTCTCGGGGTAGGTTTCGCCACCGGCTTCATGTCCTTGGTCGTGCTCCGCCAAGAACATCTCGACATCATTGAAGGCCTGATCCTGCAGCTCTTCGGCAGGATACTCTGATGCCTCGTAGCCGGCCTGGGTGCCATATGCACTGGTCCACCACTCGTCCTCCTCGGCCTCGACGTAGTGGACGGAGTGCTTCTGCTTGGGGACGACATACTCCGGGAAGCAAGACCGCATGGCCTGCGAGAGCGTGTCGAACTTCAGGTCGCCAACCGTCCTGGCCAACACCACAGCTCGCTGTTCTTCTGACATTCCGCTCCTGTACAGGAGCAGCCAGCCCTTGGCCTCCTCTGGGAATGTCACGCCAGTCTTGCGCTGGCAGCGATCGAAGGTTTCGCGCGCCCGGGCGCTCCACACTCGAAGCAGTTCCCCTTCGCGGGACCGCAACATGAAAACCTCCGTGATGTTTTCGCCCATCTCGTCGGAGCGGTCTCGCTCCGGCCACCGTCTATCCAACAGTGCAAAGATGGCCGTCTCGCCGCCTTCTTTCTGGTACTCCTCCTCCTTGAGGTGCTCCACAATCTCCAAAGCCTTTCCTTGGAGCAGAGTCCAGACAAAGCTGCCCCTCGCTGACTTGGGCAACTTATCCATCACAAGAAACTTGTTCTGGCACCAAAGCTTCCATCGCCGGTACTCGCGGTAGTCGACATGGTCGCCGCCGTCAAAGTACCGCAAGCCTTGACTTGGCTCGCCCATGATCGAAGACACCTAAGCGTGTCCTCGGCTCCCTACCCTGGGGAGTAGCGTGAGCTCTTCGGCTCCGCTACCAATATTGGCAGCGATCTGATGCACTCCGGTGCATCCTTTTTCCCTTCGGGCCTTGAAAGTGCCTGCGACACTCGCGGATGATAACATGCGCATGGCAGCATACAGCAGCCTCGACGAAAACAGGGTTAAGGGTTTAGGGATGTAGAGTTTAGTGTTTAGCGGTTTAAAGGTTTAGGGGTTTAGGGTTTAGGGTTTAGGGTTTAGGGTTTAGGGGTTTAGGGTTTAGGGGGTTTGGGTTTCAGAAATAACATCGGCTTGACACCCTAGGCCTCAACCCTCGGACCGTACATCGCTGCTCCTCGCCTAGACCTCCCCCAATTTCTGTCTACTGGGTAGCGGCATGGGTACAGTTTACGTTTTCTGGGTATAATATACCCTGTAGAACTGAACGGCCGCTTTTGTGGGGGCTTATGATACGGCTTATGAGCTCAGCAATTGGGGGTTTCCGAAAATAGGGGGCCCTAATATAGTACCCTAAATAGTAGGATCCTTATTATAAGGACCCCAAAATAGGGTACCCCTAATTGTCGGAAAGTCCCAATTAAGTTAAACGTGGAAACACGCCGAACCCTGGAACCTCAACCCTAAACCCTCAACCCAAGCCCTACCTAGACTTTTTCCGGGCCTTATATAAGGAAACAATAATGCGGAGTACTAGAAAGGTAGGTTCTTTAGGGTCCAGGTACACCCCCTAAACCCCTAAACCCCTAAACCCCTGAACCCCTGGACCCTGAAACCCTAAACCCCTCTATAAACCCCTGAACCCTAAACTCCTAAACCCCTGAACCCTGCAACCCTGAAACCCTAAACCCCTAAACCCCCAAACCCTAAATCCTAAACCCGTGAACCCCTGAACCCTGAACCCCTAAACCCTGAACCCCCCCTAAACAGCTCTAGACCCTGGGATCTGGCCTCCCAGTTCCCTCCACGGCAGGGCGCTGATGTGACCTTGGACAATCCGGCTGCTCCTCGGCCAAGACTGGATACTCCGAGTAAGAAACGGCATGACTAGCTACCATCAGTGTTCCCCTGAGTTCCTTGTGGTATTTGCATACATGTTTACATATATACCTATGCATACATATTATATGTATATATATATATAAATACATACATGCAAAATGTGCGTATATATAGAGCGATGTATACATATATATATATATATGCACATACATATGTATATACCTATATACAGATACATATACACATATACATATATATATATATGCATTCATGTGTATGTGTATGTATATATATATATATGTATATATAGATAGAAAGATAAATGTGCAAGGCTATCAGGAAACAGAGGCAGAACTGGATGAAAACACTGAAAAGGCAAGCAACGCCCTAATGATCACTTTTAAAGCGTGTAAAATCCACACAAATGGCCTTACTTATCCAGTCCTTAGCAAAAACACACATGCAGAGCCTTCAATCCCAAACCCTAATCTCAAACTCTGTCGCAAATCCTTAGATATAAGCACGCACCAAAAAGTACGACACCCCTGAGCCCTTAGAAGACCTTCAGCACTATAAACCCGACATAAACCCGAAACGCCTAAACTCCTACCCCTAAACCCTACTTGTGACCCCAAACGCTGCAAAACAGTAGGTTATGACCCCTTAATTAGACTGTAGAACGCTTGAAACGGTAGGTTTTTGGGATCCACAGGTAAAATAAAGTAGGCGCCTAAATAATTGTTCCTTACTGTAATTATAAAACCATGGACCCCCAAACCCTATTCTAATTATTCTACTTATTAAGCTGGGTTGTCTTTTGGGATCTCTTTTAATTTCCCTTACTATTTTGTAGAGAACCATAACAGTAACTAATTTTCAAAGGGCTTAAAGGACAACTTAGTAAGGCCCCTACATTAGGTGGCCAAGCTCCTGGAGAAGCTTCCGGACATGTCCGTGCCAGCTCCCCGGTGCGCCCAGGGCCCCCTCTGTCTCAGACTCCTAGGATCCAAAGGGGGGCTTCTATGAAGTACCATGTAGTAGAATCGGTGCCCAAATTAGGGGTTCTGCTTTCCAGATAGATCTTCCCGGGGCTGAAGAGGGTTTAGGGTTTGGGGTTGGAAGCTTGGGGTTTAGGATTTGGGGTTGGGTTGAGGTTTCCTGCCTACAGGTTTCATGATACTCTTGATGAACATAAGCCTGCATAAGTCATGGTAACTACCGGGGATGTTTGGTATACCGACCCAGGGTTAGCCTAGGTCCGCCGACGACGGAGCCAGGGTATGCGGAGTTGTCGAACGGGATACTGATACTGGCTAGCCTGCTTACATTCGAACCCTAAACCCTAAACCCTGACCCCGAATCCCTGAACCGTAAACCCTGAACCCTAAACACTGACCCCCCTTGAATCCTAAACCCCAAAACCCTGCAGGGACACCAAAACGGCGTCACTAAGGCGTATACCTGAACTCACATTGGGGTTCGATTACAATTTCAGGTATGGTCCTTCATAAGGGTGTGGGAATCTCTGGGTAACTTCCTGCAAGCGTAGCTGGTCTTCCAGCGACGAGTAAGTACCTCACGAATTCTGACTTATGACTTCGTGATACCACAATACTCTCCCGCGGCTTCGGGTTTGGAACGGGACCGTCTGGTGTGAAAAATTCGCGACTTACGGCAAACTGCGTTCGGAAAAGATTCAGATTCCCATCCGGGTCCCATCCCTTCTCTCTTCAGGATTCAATCTTTGGTGATACTGCGAAGGTAATTGGTTGTGTCTCACTACGATGTCCATCTGCAGTGTGAGTGTTCGGAGTTCTACAATCTTCTGTACTGCTATTCTGCCTCCTCAGCATTGCTACCCTCAACCCAACACAAACAACAAACCCTAAACCCTAAACCCCTAAACCCTAAACTGAGACCCTAAAACCCTAAACCCTACACTGAAACCCTAAAGCCCAAACCCTTACGAGTTCTACCTTCTGCACAGTGAGAAGCAGGGTAGCTGAATCATGTCTTGCGGAATGCGGGTTATGCAAGCTCACAGAGGGACCTCATCAAGAAGCGCTGGGTCTTTATGTTTATTTAGGGTTCTTTAGGGTTTAGGGTTTAGGGATTAGGGTTATGTTTATTTAGGGCTCTTTAGGGAGTTTTGGGGTTCTTCAATCCGAGTATTTTGGGGGGCTATAGGACCAGGGTTTCTTTATCACGTTCCCACGTTCATGTGCTGCTGGCTGCCGGAAGGGCAGAGTACTAGAATTTTTACCCCAAGACCCTAGTCTAATCATTTCGACCCCTGTAGTATGTTCAATCCTTTCGCTGTTCCCGCGATGCCGGGAGGCACTTGGGGGCAGGGCCCGGGGCAAGCGGCTTGTCGCATGGCTGGTGTTGGCTGCATAGAACTTGCATACTTAGTAACCTAGTAGTGATATCGCCTTTGAGTCCCTCAAAGCTTTGTTGTTGTAAAGCACATTACACAACATGTTTTTAACTTCTCCCGGCCACTATATTAGGCTGAATGTCGTGGTTCTTTCTCGAGCTTGCCGCTTAGCACATGGCACAGTGGCTTTGCGCTGTCGATTCCCTGCAATGTGTTTCATTGGCATCGGCGGAGGATCCGGATGAATGACGTCACCTACTACCCAACACCCTACTGCCTTTCGGGACTATGATATTCATAAAGGCACTGTCAAAACCTAAGATAAGACTCAGGCCCTAAAAAGAGGATCAAAGAGGGTTTGGGTTCGCTAGGTACAAGTACACCCTGTGCCTCTTCAAAGACTCTTAGGCTGGATGACATTGCGGAACTTCTTCGCACGCAGGCATCCAGTTTGGTGCCGTGACGAGCGCTCTTATGGTTTTGAGGTCTTGGGTTTTGGGATTTGGTGTCGGAGTGATTGCCTTGTGTGTTCTTCCGATCACCTTCACTTAAGGGATCTTACAAGTTTCAGGCCAGTTTAGCTTCCTGCACCGCCAGATGTGGAAGGTTTCGCTTCAGAACGGTAGGAGTCTCAACCGCCATCGTGGCAGAGTGCCCAGACGGCCATAACCCTTGACTTGAAGGGTGTAGAGTTTAGGGCTAGGTGGCACTTTGGGAAACTTGTTGCTTTCCCTTATGGTTCCTATAGAGGTGCCTACTCATAAATAAATTTTGGGGGCCCGAATTTACAAGCCATTTAGGGTTTAGGGTTTAGGTGAGGCATCAAGGATCTTTTCTTGCACACGTTACTAGGCTTGTTCAGGCTCGCGCCGTATCTTCCTGAGTGAGCCTATCTTAAGTCACCAACCTCATACCCGTGGAAGCCCGTGGCAATCCCCTTCGAGTACATTGTGCATCCATGGCAGCAGTGGAGCATGATTGGAGACTTCCCCAAACCCTAAATCCTAAATTTGTTGATGCCATCACAAGTCCCTAAACTCTTCGCCCGAATACCTAAGCCGACTCACAAGCTCTACCAGAGCCAGCAGATTCCAGGAATTCGGGTTTTCTGTTGGCGACTGGGCGTTCGTGCTCATGAAATGGGCTGGGGTTTGGAGTTTAGTGGATTCGGATTTTGGGTTCAGGCATTTTAGGATTCACAGAACGGTGCGAAATTGTAAAACCTTAAACCTTAAACATTTAACCTCATTCATAATTTATGATTCATAATTAAGCCTTTAGCAAAAGTCCTTAAACCGTAGAGCCTTGTAACTAGTCTTTATCTTGTAAATTTAATCTTAAGCCTCAATTAAACCCTTCACCCCTGAACCCATAAGCCCTAAACCCTTAAACCTTAAGCACGTATAAGCCCTAAGCCTTAAGTCCCATAGACCCAAGAGACCTGATCCGCAAGGCTTGCACGCCCTACGAGCTCGCACTTTCCGGGCTTGCAGAAAAGATAGTACCCTTGCGCCGCACCTGCATTGAGTTGGAAGGGGTTTGTAGGGTTCAAGGTTTAGGTGAAGTTTGGCCGATTACTTGACTTAGG